ATCTTTTTTTTTTTTTTTTTTTTTTTTTTTTTATGAGAGCTCGCTCTGTCGCGCCAAGGGCTGGAGTGCAGTGCCAATCTCAATCCACCAACCCATCTCCCGTTCACACCATTTCCTGCCTCAACCCCCCCCCCCATCCTGAGTTATGCTGGGAACAACAGGCGCCGCCACCATGCCTGGCTAATTTTTTTTGCATTTTTAGTAGAGACAGCGTTTCACTATGTTATGCCAGGGTTTTGTCTCGATTGTCTCCTGACCTTGTGAACCCGCCTTGCGTCGGCCTCCCAAAGGTGCTGGGAATTACAGGCCGTGAGCCACCATGTCTGGCCTTTCTTCTAAACAGAGATCAGGGTCGCTTGCTATGTTGCCAAGGCTGGTCATGAACGTCTGGAGCTCAAGCAATCCTCCTACCTTGGCTCCCAAAAAGACTGGGGATTACAGTGTGAGCCACACGCCTGGCCTTTATAATTTTTCGTCTTTCTTTTTTTGAGACAGAGTTCTTGCTCTTTCACCCAGGCCTGGAGTGCACTGGGCGATCCGTCTCACGCCAAACCTGCTCCCAGGTTCATTCTCCTGCTTCACTCTCCTGAGTAGCGCGAACTACATGCATGCCACCACGCCTGGCTAATTTTTATTTTAGTAGACACAGGGTTTCACCCATGTTGGTCAGGCTGGTCTTGAACTCCTGACCTCATGATCGTCCCACCTCAGCCTCCCAAAGTGCTGGATACAGGGTGTGAGCCACCACCGTGCGGCTTTTTTTTCTTTTTTTAAACAGGGTCTTTTTTCTTTTTTTTTCTTGAGACGGAGTCTCGCTCGTCGCCCGCGGCTGGAGTGCCAGTGGCGTGATCTCGCCAACTGCACAGTTCGCCTCCGGGTTCACGCCATTCTCCTACCTCAGCTCCCGAGCAGCTGGATTACAGGCCCGCCACCTCGCCCGGCTAGCTTTTGTATTTTTTAGTAGAGACAGAGTTTCACTGTGTTAGCCAGGATGGTCTCGATCTCCTGACCTCGTGATCCGCCCGTCTCGCCTCCCAAAGTGCTGGATTACAGGCTTGAGCACCCCGCGCCTGCCTAAACAGGGTCTTAGTTTGTCACCCAGGCTGGAGTGCAGTGGTGCAATCTTGGTTGCATTGCAACCCTCCACCTTCTGAGTTAAGTGATTCTCCTGCCTCAGCCTCCTAAGTAGCTGGGATACAGGTGTGCGTCACCTATGGCTGCTAATTTTGGATTTTTAGTAGAGACAGTGTTTCACCAGTTGGCCAGTCTGGTTTGAACTCCTGACCTCAAATGATCTGCCCACCTCCCGAAGTGCTGGGATTATAGGCATGAGCCCGCCATGCCCAGACCTTCATGATATCTTAGCACAGCTTCCTCCTCCTCTGGGAACACCAGGATGGGTCTGTGGTGTCCACTGCAGTTGTCCCGTGTCCCCATCATGCTTGTGCTCTTTAGTGTAAATCTCGAGAACAGTAAAGGTTTAAAGTTAATGAGCTGCCTGTAATCCCACACTTTGGGAGGCTGCGACAGGAGGATTGCTTGAGCCCAGGAGTTCAAGATCAGGCTGGGTAACATAATGGGACCTGTCTCTACAAATATATTTTTTTAATTAGCCAGGTGTGGTGGTGGACACCTGTAGTCCCAGCTACTCAGGAGGCTGAGATGGGATGATCTCTTGAGCCCAGCAGGTTGAGACTGCAGTGTGTCATGATCATGCTGCTGCACTGTAGCCTGAGCAATAGAGCAAGACCCTATCTCAAAAAAAAATTATTTTTAAATAAAAAGAGTTTATATAAGTATCCATCTTAAGAAGGTATTAATACAGATTTCTGCAGGTGAAGTTTAAATTAAAAACAGGCCAGGTGTGGTGGCTCACGCCTGTAATCCCAGCACTTTAGGAGGCCGAGGCGGGCAGATTATGAGGTCAGGAGATCGAGACCATCCTGGCTAACACAGTGAAACCCCATCTCTACTAAAGAATACAAAAAATTAGCTGAGTGTAGTGGCCAGCGCCTATAGTCCCAGCTACTCGGGAGGCTGAGGTAGGAGAATGGCGTGAACCCAGGAGGCGGAGGTTGCAGTAAGCCGAGATTGTGCCGCTGCACTCCAGCCTGGGTGACAGAGCAAGACTCCATCTCAAAAAAAAAATGAAAATAAAAACAAATTAAAAACAAAACATGAGCTAGGAAAAGAAGAGCCAATTGAACGTAAGGTAACCAGAAAAAAGAAAAGAATAAAATCAAGTCAAAAGGCAATAAAATAGAAAATAGAAAGTGAAACAACAAAACCAAACTGTGGCACTTTGAAAAGATCAGTAACAATGATTAGCTCCTAGCAAGACCAATAAGAGACAAGGAGACTTCACTAATTTTTGTTGTCAGGAATGAAAGAAAGAACATTACTACAGACCCTACAGATATTAAAAGGATAGTAAGGGGATATGAACAACGTTACACCAATACATTTGACAACTTAGATGAACAAATTCCTTGAAGATACAAGCATGACAGTTGCAATAAAGGAATATTACAGGGCACTGTGGAAGAATTTACCTGGGGGATTGTTCTAAGTCCAGAGGGGCCTGGAAAGTTTTCCCAGAAGTGATATTTAAACTGAGATCTGAGGGAGAAGCAGGATTTGACCAGGTTGATAGAATTGTGTTCCAGGCCAGAGAAATAGTGTGTGCAAAGGCCCTAAGGTTGGAATGAGCTTTCTGTGGCCAAAGAAAAAAGTTCACTCTAATGATGCATTTTGGTGTTTGATGACCACACGCCATGTCCTTCTTGGGTCCAAACCCCCAAGCAAACCCGATTGGCTTGAACAGAAATGTTTAAAAAGATAAATGCAAACCCAGTAGTAAGAGAAACTTGGAAGTTTCTAGGCTGTAAACAGGAGGCAGTTTATCCTGTGAACTCTATCACAAACTATATCCAGAACTGATCTGGAACTGGAATTCCCTTTCACCTGGCTAATCAAACTTCTGAGCCTTTTTCCTCCCTGTAACTTTACCTCGTGAGCACTCACTACCCACTAGGCAATGCATTTCCTACTACAAGTTCTTTGAATCTAATGTCCACTACTCTTTTTTTTTTTTTTTTTTATGGATTTTTTTTTTGTTGCTCAGGCTGGAGTGCAGTGATGCAATCTCAGCTCACCACAGCCTCCACCTCCTGGGTTCAAGCAATTTTCCTGCCTCAGCCTCCCAATTAGCTGGGATTACAGGTGTGTGCCACCATGCCCGGCTAATTTTTTGTATTTAGTAGAGACGGGGTTTCACCATGTTAGGCTGGTCTTGACCTCCTGACCTCAGGTGATCTGCCCACCTCGGCCTCCCAAAGTGTTGGGATTACAGGCGTGAGCCACCGTGTCTGGCCTAATGTCTACTACTCTTAGCCCCATTCTGCAGAACAGTATACTGAAGGCTCAAAGGAGGTAAGCCGTGCCTGAGGTCGCAGAGGCCAAGCCCTAACCACCATGTCCTCCCACTCCTGTCCGTATTTGTTTAAATGTTGGCGCTGGTTAGGCTATGGTTTGTGTCTTGCGTGTGGGTTTCCAAACATCCCACTGCTGTCACCCTGTCTCATTCCCAGGAGTTCTCTGAGAAGGAGAGACAAAAGGCTGGGCATGGTGGCTCACTCTTGAAATCCCAGTACTTTTGGAGGCTGAGGCAGGCGGATCACGAAGTCAAGAGATCGAGACCATCCTGGCCAACATGGTGAAACCCTGTCTCTACTAAAAATACAAAAATTAGCTGGGCGTGGTGGCTCCTGCCTGTAGTCCCAGCTACTCAGGAGGCTGAGGCAGGAGAATTGCTTGAACCTGGGAGGCAGAGTCTGCGTTGAGCCAAGATTGCTCCACTGCACTCCAGCCTGGGCAGCAGAGCAAGACTCTGTCTCAAAAATAAAAATAAAAAAAAAAAGGAAAAAATGGTGAAAACCACCTAACCATCTCATCCATTTTTTCTTCTCTAATCTGCAGATCAGCGGCCAGAGAGGTGCCCGGGTCTGATGTATGTTTGGGGAAGGGGTGGGGAGAGGAGAGAGTCCCTTTCAGTGCTCAAGCCTGTGTGTGCAACTTCCTGCCAGTGAGGAAACTCTCAGCTTGAGAATCAGCCCTGGTTCTCCTTTCCCCGATCTGGCCTCACAGGAGGAGTTGGCAGGGAGCCTTGGGCCCCTCTGGCCTCTGCCGGATTTCCCAGCCAAACGCGGGGGAGAGATGCCCTGGACCATCTTGCTTCTTGCAGCTGGTGAGTCTGAAGGTCCCCTTTCAGATCCCCCACGCCTTTCCCCCCATCCCCTGTCCACCTTGCCGCTCTGGGGGCAGAAACCAGTGCAGGGGCTGCCGTTCCGAGGGCATCGAGGAGGCTGAGCCCTGGGCAGATGGGTTTGCCCATGAGCCTTGGAAATTCTCCAGCAGTGTTGCTTTTTTCTTGTTAGGCTCCTCATCACCCCCAAGTTTACGAATATCAGAAATATCACCCGTCTGGAGTCAACTGTGCCCACACCCCATGACTCAGCCCCACTTGGTCTCCGAAGGCTCCTTGAGTGCTGGGGCAGGAGGAGGGTCTACCTAGGGGGGATATCAGTGTGGCAGGGGTGGGTGGGGGTTGAAGGCTGGACGAGGGAGGGTTTGTGTAGACCTCAACCTGGCCAGACACTCTGTTCAGAAGCCTGTGGGCAGTCAGGAGAGAGATGGGTCCCCAGGAAACTTCATCCTGCAGGAAGCTGTGCTCCAAAATCCATATTCCTCACCCCAGCCTGGAAAAGAAGATAAAAGTCCTCTGCCCTTCCTTCTCCTGCCCTCCCCATCACTCATCCCCTCCCGCTCCTGCCACCCCCCTCACTCACCTCCTCCCTCCTGCCATGATAGCCGCCTTGCTGCTCGTTTTTTAATTTTAATTTTTATTTTTAGATAGAGACAGGATCTCACTGTGTTCCCCAGGCTAGTCACAAATTCCTGGGCTCAAGCAATCCTCCCACCTTGGCCTCCCAAAGTGCTGGAATTACAGTCATGAGCCACTGCATCCGGCGTTTGCTCCTCCTTAAACACCCCCATGCCCCTTCCATCCCTTGGACCTTTGCCTATGCTGTTCCCTCTGCTGGAATGCCCTTCCCCAGCTCTCCAAATGGGTCCTTCCTCACCACTCAGGACTCAGCTCATGGGAGGCCAAGGTGGGAGGATTGCTTGAGGTGAGGATCTGGGCAACACAGTGAGATCCCATCTCTATACAAAATAAGCAAAATTAGCTAGCCAGGTTCACCAGCCTGGCCAACATGGTGAAACCCCGTCTCTACTAAAATTATAAAAATTAGCCGGGCGTGGTGGCACGTAGTCCCAGGTACTCAGGAGGCTGAGGCCACTGTACTCCAGCCTGGGCAACAAAGCAAGATTTTGTCTCTAAATAAATAGATAGTAAATAAATTAAATAAAAATAAAGTAATAAGGGTATAGTTGTGCTGCTGTGTGATAACCAATGCTATTACTGAAAATTGATGGCCAGGCATGGTGGCTCACGCCTGTAATCCCAGCACTTTGGGAGGCCAAGGTGGGCGGATCTCATGAGGTCAGGAGTTCGAGACCAGCCTGGCCAATATCGTGAAACCCCATCTCTACTAAAAATATAAAAATTGGCCAGACGTAGTGCCACATGCCTGTAATCATAGCTACCTGGGAGGCTGGAGGATCACTTGAATCCGGGAGGTGGAGGCTGCAGTGAGCCAAGATCACGCTAGTGCATTCCATCCTGGTGGCAGAGTAAGACTCCGACTCAAAGAAAAATGAAAAATGCGGTGGCTCACACCTGTAATCCCAGCACTTTGGGAGGCTGAGGCGGGCGGATCACGAGATCAGGAGATCGAGACCGTCCTGGCTAACACAGTGAAACCCCGTCTCTACTAAAAATACAAAAAACTAGCCGGGCATGGTGGCGGGCACCTGTAGTCCCAGCTACTCAGGAGGCTGAGGCAGGAGAACGGCATGAACCCGGGAGGCGGAGCTTGCAGTAAGCCGAGATCGCGCCATTGCACTCCAGCCTGGGCGACTGAGTGAGACTCCGTCTCAAAAAAAAAAAAAGAAAAATGAAAATTAATTCAACTACAGGGAGCCGTCACCATGTGCCAGGCAGTGTGGGGTAGGGTCACTAGCCTCCCGACTCACAGAAAACACAAGGCTGAGGGAGGGTGATCTACTTGCCAGAGGCCACAAAGCCAGGTCAGCCTCCACTCTCACCACGCACCCACCCACCTTACCGTCTGCATCGCAGGCTCCTTGGCGATCCCACGACCGTCCATCCGGCTGGTGCCCCCGCACCCAAGCAACCAAGAGGACCCCATCCACATCGCATGCATGGCCCCTGGGAACTTCCTGGGGGCGAATTTCACACTGTATCGAGGGGGGCAGGTGGTCCAGATCCTGCAGGCCCACGGAGACCAGCGCGGGGTGACATTTAACCTGAATGGCAGCAGCAGCGAGGCTCCCTTCCACTGCCAGTATGGAGTGTTAGGCGAGCTCAACCAGCCCCAGCTGTCAGACCTCAGCGAGCCCGTGAACGTCTCGTTTCCAGGTAAGGCCATTCTATGGGATCTCACTGCCAGGGGCTTCATTTTCCCACACAGACCTCTCGTATGTACTGTTGACTCAGAGACCTTCCCAGAAAAAGCCAGGCTTACACCCTGCCAGGACTTACTCGCCTTTCCTTTTTCCATCTTCTCAGCCAGCCCAAAAGGGGATTTGTTGGTTCACTGAGCTGAAGTCAGCTCACAGGGTCAACTTCAGGTATGGCTAGATCCAGGTGCTGAAAGCTGTCAGGAACCATTTGCCCCATCTCCGCTCCACATTGTTCTCTGTCTTATTGTCAGGTAGCCCATCTCCCTCATGGTACCAAAATTGTTGCTATGATTCTTCCCATTTTGCAGATAAGGAAACTGAGGCACAGGAGGTACAGCTTGTACACATGTAACAGGTAGCTAGTCTGGGATGCCATTGCCTTCCAAAAACCATGAATTACACCTCCGTGACCTACATTACTTCCCCTCTTGGCCACATACTTTTTTTTTTTTTGATGAATCTGGGAAAGAGCTTTCAGGGTCTCCAGAAACTGGTCTAGATTGGAGAGGCCGAGGCGGTGAAAGATCATGAGGTTCATTCGGAGGAGTATCGAAGACGGTAGGCGAGCGTAGGCCATACCATCGGTTATTTACGTCTACCTTTAGTCCATCTTTCCTACAAATACGATATATTTAGCCGGGCATCGTGTGGCCCACACCTGTCTGAGGAGCACCAGCTAACTCAGCTTGCGGGCGTATGGCATGCGGTCTTGTACAGTTTGAACGCAGTGTAGGCGGAGGCTGCAGTGAGCCAAGATCACGCCATTTTGCACCTCTAGCACTTATGGGTCAACAAGAGCTAAAACTGTGTCTCCGGTGGTATT